AGAAGATATTCTCCAATGAAGTTGTGAAATCCTTTGGAGAATTTGGCAAAGTATTGAATATCTGAACAAGTTTTGACAAAGCCAATGTTTTTATTAAAGTTATTTTGTCAATCACAGTCAGGTGTCTTTTCCTCCATTGTGCAAGCAGTCTATATATTTTCTAGTCTTTAACTTGTATTAATTACCCGCAAATTGTTCAGATCTGTGTGGAATTTAATTCCCATGACTCCAAAAACACTATTTTGCCATTCTAGTTTAATGTCTTTGCATATTATATGCGTAATATTTCTCTTTGAGACAATCCATATTGCTTTTGGTTTATCAATGTTTATTTAAGTCCTGGCATTTTACTAAAAGTATTAATTTCATCAATAGCAGCCTGTAAGCTTTGTTCACTCCCATCAAGAAATAATTCAGTATCATCTGCATATTGATATAAATTGTACTCTTTATTGTCAATAACAATACCTTTTATGTTCTTATTACGTCTAATCACACAACCAAGTATTTCAGGGGCAAAAATAAAGAGGTACGGTGACAGAGGATCTCCTTGCCTGCATCCGCGTTCATTTACGAAAAATGCAGGATGTTGTTTCACATGTGAGTATATTTATCCAACGAATTATTTCAGGATCAAAACCAAATTTCGCTAAAACAATATTTAAGAAATATTTAGATACTGTATCGAACGCCTTCTCAAAATTTATTAAGAGAAATAATCCTGGCATATTTCTTTTATTAGTTTCAAACATTATGTCATAAAGTAATTTTGTGTTTTCACTGAGAGTTCTGCCTGGAATAAAGCTTGTTTGATTTACATATACAAGGGAATCTAAGGTTTTCTTTAAGCGGTTAGAAATACAAGCGCTAATAAGTGCATTCAATAAAGTAATAGGTCTCCAATTTCTTAAAAGTGTTTTATCTCGGTTAGCTTTAGGTGTTACTAAGTTAGTTATTAGTTATTACTCCTTTTATCATAGTTATAGACATTTTTTTTCTTTTGAAATATTATTGACAAAACTAAAGATCCAAATTTTTAAAAATCAATTGGGAAGCCATCAATTCTAGGGCTTTTGTTATTTTTATATTCTTAACTGCATAGCAAATTTCATTCATGTCAATCTCTTTTTCCAAATTGTTTCTTAAGTCATCACTAAGGATTTCGGTTACAATGTGGGCTATAGGGGTAAAGTCTGTTTCGTCCTGTACTATCAACAGACTAAAGCTTTTTTATAGAAGGATTTTACGTCATCAAGTATACAATCACTCTCTGTTAAATCACCATTGTTGACTGAAAAGGTTTATTCATAGAGTTACTAACATAATTTCTGTTTTCCAAGTGTCAAAAATATTTTGTTGATTTTTCCCCTTTCATACCAAAGCAGCCTTTTTCTATTGATATTCCTCTCATTTCTTCTTCTTTTATCTGTTCAAGCTCAGTTTTATGCTTTGATAGTTCGCCTAGCAAATCGTCACTAATGTTTTGAAAACCTCTTCTTATATCTTCTTCAAGAGTCTTTATTCAAGATTCTAGTTCATCAGTTCTATTCTTTTTACATTTTTTTCAGATATGTGGAATAAGATACACTCTTACCTCTTATTTTCATTAGTAGGGTTTTTATAAATATGCTATCATCAGTCATAATTGACTGGTTCAGGTATTGTGTATTCATCAATGGCTTCTTTTAATGTATTCCTAACTAAGTTTCCATAATCTGGGTTAAGAAGCAAGGAATTATTAAACCTCCCTCTCTTTCTTGGTTAATAGAGTTTGAAAAATAGTAGAATGATCAGATTTATAACCTGGTAAAATATTGGAATCCAAGGTTAGGTCACAAATGTCTTGTGAAATAATGAACAAATCTAATCTAGCTTGTTGCCTGGGACTTTTTCCACCAAGTATATTTCTCTTCAAATATATAAAAGGTTGACATACTTCTAAAATATTGGGGCGGTGGGGTAGCCTAGTGGTTAAAGCGTTGGCTCGTCACGCCGAAGACCCGGGTTCGATTCCTCACATCGGTGTAATGTGTTAAGCCCATTCCTGGTGTCCCCGCCGTGATATTGTTGGAATATTGCTAAACGCGGCGTAAAACTGAACTCACTCACTCCTTCTTCTGATATTCGACAGATTTCAGCCATGTGATGGGTCTAATACTAAGTTCCAATCACAATGACAATTGATTCATTACCGAAATCATGAATATTTTCAAATATGTTTTTATAGAAATTTGGGTTATCGTTATTTGGCCCATAGAGATTAGTAAGTGCAATTCTTCTATATTCTACTGTTAGATCTGTGATGATATAACTTCCATTCTCATCGATAGTTGTTCTATGGATAGTGTAGTAAATATTATTATTGAAAAATATTGCGACGCCTCTTGCGTTAGATTTATAGGGAGCAGTTATACAATGCAAACCCCATTAATTTTTACAGTATTCACATTTTCAGGGGAAATATGAATGTCTTGTAGACAAATAATTAAGTACTTTTTCTTGATAAGTTCATGACTTCTTTTTTTAATTTTGGTGAGCTAATCCTCTGCAATTTGATGAAATCATTTTAATTTTCTTAATCTTGGTTATTTCAAACAAAGAATTTGTTATGGAAACAATAAGGCTCTATACTGGAAATATATACTGGTAAATGGCATGGTAGTTTGGAATTAAATGCACATTCTAAATGTGGTATAATGAAGCATGAGAAGTGAATAAGGTAAATGAAGTGTAACCCTAACTGATGGGAACATTTTTCCGTTACAAAATAAATATAATAAGAAGGTAAAAACAAAGAAATAGACGACGTTCTTTTCTTTACTTCCAAACAGATCATTGACAAAAGTAAGCAGAGACCACAAGTAAATTCCCATATCCAATATACCAAAAAGACTACAATATATGGGACGAAATTTCATAGCGTGTACGAAAGGTTCCATAGGTCATTTATTATGAGTGCGTCTCGTGTACTGTTCAGGCAGAATGCGAGCTAAGGTGGTCCTACAAAGCTAAATAAGTATACTAACATGTACATAATAAAATCATAATCACGTACATGTAAATGAACGCTTGTTTATAAAAAAAGGAAATGGTTACTCACTCGTCACTAGTCTGCAGTCCCAACGCCAAACGTCCTGCTTCACGCGATATTATTAAACAATGTGTAATAACATTGTAGATTCATTAAACAGTGATGTCTTCAACGTGCAATAAAGTCCTATATACATGTTTGCTTGAAGACCCGGTCGTTTACTATTGTCCATATATAGATACCCGCGCAGATCTGGGATAGAATTAATCTATATCAAACCATACTTGTTGTAGTTCATGCATGTAAACATATCCGAGCTGTGTTGATCGATGCGTATAATATTAATTAGTGGATTGTCTGGTCCAGACTCGATTACTTACAGATCGCTATCATATAGCAGGAAATTTGTTGCTTGATCGAGGTGTTAAACAACAAGCATAAATTGCATTCCACCCATTATTACAACAAATCTGTAGACTAAAGCAGTAGTGCAGAGTTTCGTTTCTATGAAACCTAAGATTCCATTCCGTTTCCAAGTCTGTGGACGTAATACTGGCGATTTCCAAACATGTGGTAATATAACTGAGATAGCCCATTGTTCAAGGTGGCGTAAACCAATAACACCCACCTATACCCCTGATTCACTCACTCACGCTCCCAACCCCCCCTGAATTACCAACCCACTCACTCACTCACCGAAACCCCAATAATCCGCTCTTATGAAATACACAATGCCATTTCAGAAAGTTGTCAAAGGTAACATATGTTATATTTGGGATTACACTTTCTCAGTAAAGTACAGATTCTAGTACTTTTTAGGGTTGAGTCCCAAATATAACATATGTTACATTTGACAACTTTCTAAAATTGCATTGTGTATTTCATAGCTTTCGGCCGTGGGAGCCGTGCCAATTAACACTTATCAGAGGGATACACAAAGTCCGCAGTCTAGATTACCAGTTGTCCGACTGTCCGCGGTGGCTGAGCGGTCTAGGCGTCTGACATTGTGTGCTGGCGATTAGGTGCCTGATTCTGAGGGTGTGGGTTCGAATCCCGGATGGGACTCAACCCCAAAAATGTACTAGAATCTGTACTGAGAAAGTGTAATCCCAAATATAACATATGTTACACCCCCTCTTACTAACACAAGCATACCAACAAAACATATATAGAAAAACAGACATGTTTATTGTATAACATTTTTAATTATGACATATATACAAAAATACGGATTTCCACAATGTCTCTACATTAAAGTGTGCCTGCATGGGAAGCCAGGATACCATACAAACAGTACCCCAGGATGAGGTACATCCAATCAGTTACGTTACTAGTATAGATTGTGCAGCTGTTCTGCATCAAATGTTGGACAGTGTCGTGACAATGATAGCACATTAGCAAATCCTTGTCATCTCTTCAAAATTTGCATTTAATTGTTCCAAAAAACATAAAGAAAAAATGGTATGTCCGAACAGTCAATTTGTCTGAGTGATAATACATGGCCGTGGATATTGGATGGTTAACTAAAGACATTAAGCAATGATCTAATGCATGGACGTGTAGTTTCCTATGGTGAGTGAAATCCTTTAGTTATGACTATTATGCCATGTTCTGAGTATTTATGAAACAAATAAAGTATAAAAGGTAAACTACCATATGTCGTATGACATAATTACAACATCCCTGTACAAACACGCATTAACCATTACAAGAGGGGGAGACATTTGCCTTTCAGGTATAGACAATAAAAAAACCCGATGGTTTGTTCCGGATGAATAGATTTTCGCTGCTCTAAGGCAGTATACAAAATATGCCTCGCTATAACGTGGGCGGGAATTCATAAGACTGATGTCGCTTTTTGCGTAGATGCTTATCACAAAAATATTATCATAAAAGCCAAGTCATACAAGTAACTTTTGAAAGTATATTGTCGTTGTCCAGGGAGAGATTAGTGAGATGGGTTTTTTTAACATCCTCTCACATCGATACATGCAGTGTCCTTCTCTTCCGTGACGGTGTAGCGTGATTGCTGGGGATACAGTATTGCAGGTCTACCCGGTTCCAGCTGAAACAGAAAATTGTGATCGTTGTATGACATAAATCAACATGAAACGACATCCAACGGTTGAAAATATACATCCACAATTCTCACCTTAATAACATTTTACGATTGTTTGTTTCTCAGCATTTATGATTTGAAATGTATTCTGTCACGTAAAATGTTCCCTTTTAGACATTTTAGCCCCGCGTAGCCTGTGGTCAAGTAATAAAAAACACGGATCGTTGTCGGCAATTTAAGCGTACCATATCTGTATCATTACTTTATTTCAATGGTTTCTGCAATTTTAAATTTGACCTTTCCAGCGGGTTTTGGCAGTTCAAAAAATACAATATCCTTGTATCATGGATTCGTGGACAGGTAATACAAAACAATAAGAATGCACAATGCCAGTTAGAAATTAAAGCGATCACATGTGACATGTTATATGTTACATTACACTTTCAAAGTACAGGTTCTAGTACTTTTGTTGGGTTGAGTCCCATTCGGGATTCGAACCTACACCCTCAGAGTCAGGCATAATCGCCAGCACACAAAGTCAGACGCCTAACCCACTCAACTATCGCGGCATCCACGAAGTGCCTGACTCTGAGGGTGCGGGTTCGGCGAATATTGACGATCGCATAATGTGTTAAAGGGAAACAACTCTGCATAGCTCTTTGCAGTGCCTCTGATGACCGGATTCAAGACCTCCTCTAAGTGTAAGATGGTTCTGTTAGTTTACCAGTGACTCCGTGCATCTGATAGTTCCCGCTTCTTGCTCTCCTCTTCTTGATGCTGCTACCGCGACACGTGGAGTCGTACAACAGAACTGCTACAACGAGGATCAGCAGGGTTGCAACAGCAGCAATGGCCCCATAGTTGGCCTCATCAGAGGCTAAAACTTGTTCCACTTTGTCCGACATGTTTGCTGGAAAAGAACATATTTATATAATCTTCATGGAATACTAGTACGTTACGATCTGCTGTGTGTATGTCGCCTTTGCCCGATGCTGGTATCGTTGTTCATGCTATAGTCCGTTTGGCTCAAAACAGACAGATGAATAGAAATCTAACGGGAAAACTAATAAACATATAATATAGCACAAGTTTTATGAAACACTGATCATAATCAAACATCAGACCAACTCTGTGAGGTTTTGCAGAATTTTTTTGCAGAATTTATGTCCTAAAAAAAAGTTGTTTAACAAACTGTCATTAAAATATTGACACAGTTCATTATTTGTTACGAGGAGGAGTGCAAAGAGAGGAACAGCCAGGTGTCCGAGAAAGGATAGAGATGGCACAGCACAGATTAATGAATCAATGACTTTGTCGGCACTTGTGCTCGTGCTTCTCGTACACCTGCTTGTTCCTCTCTTTGTCAATGTCTTTGTTATTGAGCAATCGGTTCCCGAAAAATTCTAACATTTGAAACACCCGGTTCCGCCTTAATACCATAAATTAAACATTTCCTAACTTTTTAAAAACTTAAGGACTGCGATGAAGATTCACTGTTCATTTTGTCGGCTCATTTTGACACCAATCGAAAACTTATGTGAAAGTTGTATGTATCCATTTTAAACAACATGGTCAGTCACCGACAACGGGTAGACACAAGGGGTATGCGAGTTATCAATATAACCCAATGACCCATTTGTCTAACCCATGCAAGCGACCTTCTTGGGCTTGCACTTGTATTGTTGCATACCGTCTCGATCCCCGGTGTTATTGTTCTGTTTGGAAGATATGAATATGCATAAGTGCCCATAAAATGTCCTGTGTATGATGATGGGGGTAAGCAGAAAGGGAATTCTCTCGACTCCAATCAGGATTTTCCAACATGGCGTTTCACGATTGTTGAAAGTAGTCCTCTTTGCTGGGCGCGGCCGTATGTTTTACATTCATTGGGAAATGAAAGCAATGACACGTGCACGGTTCACGTAATCTGAATACAGGAATTACAATGGATATAACGCAATTAAAGACTTTGTATTATCATTTCCTCGCATTATGGGTTTTCGGACATTTTCTTTGTTCGTCGTTTGTCGCCACATTTACAACTATAAAACACGTCACTATAGCTTATAAAAGATGACTTTGTGAGCTGATGTGTTTTGACGTGAGTGGTTGTTTGGTGTGTCTGGACGTGTTTGGGTGTAAAGTCGTTTGTTTTCAAGTGTGTTGATGTTGATGCGTTTGTAGGTAGGCATATCTTTGTTGTTTGGGTGGGTGTGCATTTATGTGGATGTGAGTTAATGTGTTATAAGTTTTAGGGTGTGAGTTGTTATATTTGAGCGCGTGTGCGTGTGAGCTGATGTATTTTTATATGTGAACTTGGTGTTTATAAATGGACGCGTGTAGATGTAAGTTGCTGTGTGTGGATGTTGGTTGATGTTTAGATGTGTTGATGTCAGTTGATGTGTGTGAATGTAGGTTGATGTGTGTGTGTGTGTGTGTGTGAGAGAGAGAGAGAGAGAGAGAGAGAGAGAGAGAGAGAGAGAGAGAGAGAGAGAGAGAGAGAGAGAGAGAGAGAGAGAGAGAGAGAGAGAGAGATGAGAGATGAGAGAAATGAAGTGAAAATTTTGGGCCATACGTGTAGACGGTGTGTTGAAAAGGTTCATAGTGAGTATTTTGAAACGTTTTTGTCAATCAGTCAAAAACTGCATCATGTGCTGTACTTTGAGAAACTGGCAGATATAATTTGTGTGTACAATTATTAGTCAATGTGTATCAAATATTAGTGCCGAATTATTCGTAGATAAACAAATGCCTGTAATATGATGAAAGTCTGTGATGACAACGGAGGCACAAACTGGGTTTCACATGTTCGAATGTTTTTATTTACAACAGGACATTCCTGTGTCTGGTTAGCCCAAGATTGTGGCGATGTTAATCACTTCATGTTAGATTTGAAACAATACTGTATTGATATTAATATACAACACTGAAATAGAAATATAAGTAACTCATCATTGCTTGTAAATTACAGTACATTTAAGTCACTTCTAGAACCTGAACTGTATATTTCCTGTGGCGCATTAAACAAAGACTTAATGCGAATGTTAATCAAATTTCGATGTCAAGCACATAACTTGAATATACAAAACCAACGTTTTTCAAAGATATTGGTTCCATATAATGAATTAGTTTGTAACAAATGTAATTTAAACTTGCTTGAAGATGAATATCACATAATGTCTAATATGTCCATTTTACAACCGATGCAGATCCGAATGTATTCGTACCTCTTTCTACAGCCCGCCTTCAATTGTCAAATTTCGAGCCCCTATGAAGATACAAAATATCAATGTTCTCAAAGGGATATGTATATTCCAGAAGCAAAATCTACGTTAACACGATTGTATTATCATTTATTATATTTCAACTCTACACACCATGACAATGTTGTAATACCTGTTGTATTCTTGGCCACGTGGCCTTCAATCCCTGAATAAAGTGATCGGATCTGTGAATGTGGGTTGATGTTTAGATGTGGAGGTGTGGAGGTGTGAATTGTGTGGGTGTAGGTTGATGTTTAGGTGTGTAGGTGTGGGTTGTAGTGTGGGTGTGTGTTGATGTTTAGATGTGGGCATGTGTAGATGTGAGTTGTGGGTTGATGTTTAGATGTGGCTGTGAGTATGTGTGCGATGACGTTTATGGATGTGGGTGGGTGCGTTTAAATGTGGGTTTATGTCTGTGGGTGTGGATTTATGGTGTGGGTTGGTTTTGATGAACATGGATATGGTTGTGTGAGTTTTAATGTGTTTGGATGTGTGTTGCAATGAAATAAAAAACATCGTGTTATCGCCCAAACTGTAAAGAACTCCTATAATGTGCACGTGAGCAGTGACGCGGATCCAAGCTCCGGGCTGTTCAACGGGAACTGCCACAGCTTTCAACGCTTTGAAATATACCAGTCAGCTGATAATTGTTAAGAAGCTATACAAAGTATGGCCTATATAGTGGATACCTTTATTCCGGGTCTACTGTTTCAGCCTTCGGGGTAGTTGTGTGGTAGTTGATATATGATACATGGCAATACAATAGGGCGAGTGAGTGACACAGCAAGATGTCGTCCCTAACCCAACACCACTTTCCTACAATCCGGAATCTGTCATTAACGTCTGATTCAATATCACGATGACATGTCCCTGTCTAATGTCGACAGGACAAACCAGTGACTGGGGTTCGATCCACACAATCATGACACGAAGACCGCCAAGTCATATCCTTTGATCGCCTGAACGCATGTAGTCACCTCATTACCCGGGGACATATTTTAACTCTCCCTCCCCAAAAGGAGTCACTGACAAGCATTATCTGTAGTCGCTGAGATGTAATTAATTTCTATTGATTTTTCAAGTTCTATCTGATTATCTATTGTATACAATGACCACATAGTTTAATTTAATGTTTAACAAATATTAATCACATTAAAAGGATATGTTACTAATGTCATTAAATGCGTCTCTGTTTAACGTGTATTAGGGGCTGTTGGTATCCTATTGATTAAAGCATTCGCTCGTCACGCCGAAAGCCCGGGTTCGATTCCACCCATGGGTGCAATAGTTGAAGCCAGTTTCTGGTATCCTCCCATGATAGTTCTTGTATTTTACAACAACCCTACGTAAACAACACTGAACGTATTTACGACAACATATGCACATGTATCACAACGAAACGTGTAGAATTATAAGAATTATAAGATGTTTGTGAAAACAAATACTAATGTCATTATCAATGTCATTTCAAAGAAGCGCTTCAAGTGGAGTTACCTTAAAGCGTGTGTGTATTTCACAATTAGACAGGTTCAGGTGTATGTATCCTGGTACACAAACCTAGGTCACAGGAGTGAGTGTTTTGCACGGCAAATGTCAGCCTTGTATGACTAATGGCTTGTACTGACGTAGGTGTTGGTTGAGCGGGCTGACCGCAAAAGCAATACCTACAATTGTGGCGACGATGTGGCGTGTTGCAAGACAGACAAATAAATTATTTCGTTTACAAGATACTATAGACTGGAAATGTTACATAATTACGTTAATCTATCACAATAAAGACGGAGATGTAGATATAGCTATGTACTGATGCAGTGAATCTATTACGTCGTTAATTCCCCCCAAACGTACCTGAATATATGGTATTATATCAATATCAGATAGGAAAATATCCTCACATCAACATCAGTTGGTCACATACAAGCGCTGCAAGACAAGTTGCAAATGCGTATGGTTAAGTTGTAGCCGAATGTGAGGCTTCTGTAATGGCGTCTGACAAACGCTGCAACGGAAATGTCGTCGACATGTTACCTGTCCCAGGTTAGACCTGAGCTCCATACAACTGCAACCTACCATGAATCTATACCTAAAACATTTAAGCTTACCTTATCGTGGATGATACGAACGTCCAAAATTACTTGTACCAGAAAGTGTTGTGAGACAAGGTGTGTCTCTCAGACCCGTCAGTTTACTGATCAGATTTACATTCCAAACCATTCAAGCGGAAACTCCCCGATATAGCATGAACGAGGTCGTCTTTACAATTTAGGCAAACATGAAAAGCTTTCCATCCGGGTCTCCACCATGCAGTAAACATAACCCGTCCTGCGGGGTTACTGCCTGCATTGTTTGTATACCTTAACCTGGGTGAGTGCGGAGACATGCACTCGTAGTGAGAAGCCTTTAGCATCTGAGAAGGCGGACATTATTTAGACATACGTGAAAACAATATCAAGGATATGATGTGCGCAAATTGTGCTGAATATTTATTTTTATACAATGTATCTTTCGTGATCGGTGATACAGATTATTCTATTTTTTTATAATCCTGAATAAAATACGCAGTGGCGGAAAGTTCACCTTGTAACAATGATAGGGTTAAGCCAGTCGTGTCGTATGAGGCTTGAGTGGTATGCATGAGAATAGACGCACTGATGCTTCATGAATATAGTTTTGCGTTGAGTTTAGCAATATCCACGGTGGGTGCTCAACACTGTGTCCTAGGTGGATGAGCGCTATAACCACCAGGTTACCCCACCACCCCTGATAGTCTAGGGTAGATACATAACATTGCATT